CGTAACTTTGCGAATGTGTATGTGTTTTTTTTTATTTCTTCGGCGTTGCTGTCGTTGTCAATTGTCACTGTGGTCATTTGGCTATGAATCGTATTGATGCATACTAAAAAAAACATACAAGCGAATGGGATGGAAAACCATGTTCGTATACATATCGAAAGGAAATAGAAAAAGAGAATCCGAGAAACAAAAATCGAAACCAACAAAAAGCGGACAAATGAAGTGAATAGTAGAGTCGAAAAGGACGATATAACAAATGGATGATACTTTCCATCATGTCAACATGCTACTTATCCGACAGTCGTAGCAAAGATTGGCACGAGTGTGTGTGAAAGAGAAAGAAAATATTGAGTGGAATAGGGAGAAAGCCTGGATGCTAAAAGTGAGCTCACAGTACATACTTACCCGAATATAGCCGCTTTGATCGTGGAAATAAATAAAATTGCACGGGCGTGTTGACTTTTTCATAAGCACATCGATATGTTATACAATGTATAATATCGGTTTTAGCGCGAAGGAAGAAAGTTGTTTTTTTTTTTTTCGTTGAAAAAAGAGGGGAGGTTTTTTTCATTTTCTTAACCTTATAAATCGTATCGTTTGGTTGATTGCGACAAAAGATCAAAAGACGAAAAGATGTTCGTAGAAAATATTTTTTTCAGAGGAAAAATAAAATACATAAAAGATGTGATGACAATATAATATCAAGTTTTTTTTTGTAAATTGTACATATTGTAGCATTGTTATAATCGACATCAACTTCGTCTGAATAATTCATATAATCATATTTATAAGCCATAATGAAAAAAATATATATCTCTTCTGGAAATGAAATAAAGAAGGAAATAGTCAACCAGTTTTTGAAACTTCATTGAAAATCTATTCGACATGAACGTGATGGCACAATTTGTATGTTTTTCTCGTAACATATCGTACTCAATTCTCATTTGAAGTATTATGGCACTGAAATGTTGCGATCAACCACTGTAGAAACATTTCAAACTCAGAAAAGACAAAGAAGGGAAAAAAAACCAGACGACATGAACATTTCATTTATCAACTTAATTGTTTAATTCGGTCACTTTTCATTCGATTTAAGCCAAAATGTTTGCTCGTGTCGTACGTAAGCCTTATAAAACGGAAATGTGCGAGTTTTTCTTTTCACGAACTAACCTTTCGTCAGCTACTTAAAGTAGAGTAGACTAAAATGAGAGCGATGATAATGTTGAAGCAATATTTCGCAATTGCAAGCGTATGATATAGAATGAAATGGTTTGAGGGAAAGTGTGCGAAAAATGGTTTGCTCAATTTAATCGAATGAAGTAACCACAGATGCTGTTTCGATAGTGGAATCGACATTTCTGTGTAACATTCGATTTTGTGAACGTGCATTGAATTCAAGAAAAAAGAGGATTCGTGGAACGAAAGCAATTTATAACGAATTCCCACTGTGCATTCGGTTTAAATTACGAATTTTGGATGAAGAAACGGATTCACCCAAGTTCTACCATATTCACATTTAAAATCAATTATTTTTCAACCTGAATTCGCATTCATCGACATTCTCATTTCCGCGCTATCAATACGATGCGAATCATTTCATTAAACATTTGTCCTGAAGAAGGTGGCACCTTTAATATGGAAACTTTCCCATGTTAGAAGATTGAATTTATTTTTTTATTCATTTTGTATACGAATAACAACGTACTAAAAGAATATACTATAACTAAAAGAAAATAACATCGAACAACACTCTGCTTGATGACCCATTAAAACGCACGAATGTCTTCCATAAGTTTTATTGACAACCAGAAAACACACTGAGTGTTGAATGAATTAAACGCATGTAGATCAAATGTCTCAATACTTACCCGGCATAGACGAATGAAAATTTTAATTTGTCTCCAATTCTGTCTCTCCCTCTCTCTTTCTGCGTGTGTATGTGTGTGTGAAAGAATGTAAATATATGACCATATAATATGTGTATTCGGTTCTCGAAGCTTTCTTGAATTGTTTCGGTTTTGTTGTTATTTCGCATGTTGATTGTCTATAAATATTACCAAAACAGTTGATTTTCACGTTAGAAATGAGTGTGGCGCATCCGTTTATTGTTCTATATTTTACACCTAATCTATACATGTACATATATTTCGAACCGTGAACGAACCAACGAACCGTCAAATGAGAGAAACAAAAAGTGGGTAGAAAACACGGTCTACGTATTCCTTAATATTGTCGTGGTCTGTTGTCAGGAGAATGAAACAAAATGTATACATATTTACTTTCTTTTTAATTTCTTGCGATGCCATTTTTCGTTTTCTGTTTCCCTCTGAAACGGTTTCGCTTCAAGTGAAATCGTTTTAATTAATTTTTTTTGTTCCCACAGTTGAAGTATCGTTTTTGAATTTAAATTATAAAAAGTGTATGGCCGCAAGGGAACTTGGTGGGAGGGCTGTAAAAGTTTGATACGGCATGTACGTTGCAGATATCTTGAAAGACAATATTGTATCGAAACTATTGAAATGGAAACATTTGTTGGAAATTGTTTTATAGTGGTTTTGTTTCGCCGTTGATCAAAATTGTCGATGTAAGTTCTTTTCTTTATGTGTATATGGTCGCTCCATCACGCACATTATTTTCCATCCAAGATATCCATCACATTGAAGATGGACCGTTATCGTTAATTGTTCGGGTGCATTCAATCATCTTGATTGTTGTGGTGTATTTGGCTTCTAAATGGTATTCCGTATGCTTTGTAATAAGTGAACAAGAGAAATATGTTGCAAAAAGGCGAAAAAGCAAATCCCAACATCAATAAGAACAACAAATCGTGTTGAATATTCACATTGACAATCACCACATCCACCCTCAACACAATAACAATCACACACAGAACATTCACGTTTGACATACGTACATTTGTAAAACATATAATGTGCCCGTCAAATATTTTGTAAATAAAGACGTTATTTAGTGTCATCGATGATTCCATCGAAAATAAATTATACACAGTCACCGAATAGACGTTTGAACAGTGAACGATGAATCGAAGCGAACGAATAATAAAAGTGAAAAGCGAAAAAAAAAAAACGAAACGAAAGAATTGAATGGCTGAATGTACGCACAATAGCAAAAATGAAAGAGAGAATGAAAGAAAAAGCACACGGTGACAGACACAATGAAGAAATGCAGCGCATTTGTGTGTGACGCTTTTGTTATGTGTGTCGACGTACGAAATGTGTGGATAAATATGAAATGGGTGATTGAGCTCAATATTTTATGCGACGTTTTTTCCCTTTATCAATTCACAAGCCCAAAGTAGATTATCCGAAAACGAAATACCATGATTATCATGAGGTGAAAATGAGCGGGAAAGCGTCGTACATACCACAAACAAAAATCCGAATAAATGCTTGAATATTGACACATTAAAATAAAGTAAACGAATTAACATTTGAATGTTTTTCAAGTGAATCATTTACTATTTCGTTATGTTGAAATTTGCATATAGATAGAAACGGATATGGCAATGTGACATGAAACTTGGAAATTTGTCGCAAAATGCAATTATCCTTTTTGATGATGCATTGGTGAACGAAGCTTTCGTGGTTAGCCAAACAACATTTTTTATTCCATAAATAAAACGAATACCACAACATTTGAGCTACAAAATGATATCGCCCGCAAAAATCAAATAAAAAGCGTACTCCAGATAAAACCGCACAACGACTTCAGACATGGCAAACAAAATGAAACCATTTTCATCCGAAGCGCCTTCTAAGTAAACTCAAAATGTTCGGAAAATACTCTGCACTAATGTTGAAAGTAAATTCCTCACCCTCTCTCACCGAAACTGATTCATTTTTTGACGTTTCGAAATGAGTTATATATATATATATATTAGAGAGTGAGTAAATTATGAGATGAACGCCGAACATCCACCCCCTCTTCTTTATCGCCGAACCAAACCGAACCGAATTTAACCAAAAAATTCCAATTGAGCCGCTTTATTATTTGATATTTTCTGTTATTAAATATTTACTTTTACGTTGCCGTCTCGCTTTTTGTAATTTATTCCGTCGATCTGAAGATAATCCGTTATTAAGGACATTTTTTCACATATTTCGTACAGTATACATCTTTTTGCCGTTTCATTGATTGGTGTCTTATCGACCATCATCTATTTTATTTTGGTTTGCTTTTTTGGTTGAAAAACTACCGAAATAGCTTGAATATGAATTTCGGTTGTTGCGATGAGTTTTTTTTGTTTTGCTTAATTATTTTGGTGCGTGTTAGTCTGTTTTCATTATGAAGATTAATTGTGGCGAACGACACTGTACGGCTATCCATGCATAGCTTCACAAATTATTGCAAATTGCGTGCGACAAATTTTAATTTATCAATTATGCTCGTCGTTAATAGAACCGAAAGCCATCGTAGAGAGTATGAGTTTGTGTAAGTGAAAGCACAACGTAAGAGGGAGAGAAAAATACGCGTAGAAATGTCACAGTGACATGAATAGCCGAAATGGTGCTTCGACGACGCTATACAATTATCAAAAAAAAAAAAAAAACAAGAACACAAGATTTCAGACGTCTTTAGGTCAAATGACCAAAAACACTGAACTGATTGTTTAGATTTATTGATGTTATAATTTTTTGTTTTCGAAAATAGTAGTTCGATGAATTTCAGCAACTGAAAACTGTCTGGCATCGAACGATTTTTTCTTGCTATAATTTTGAAACATATTTTTCGCCCTCTCCTTCGTCTTTATTTTCGTTTCTTCTTCTTATTTGGATTCAAAAACTTGTAGATAACAGCGCTTTGCATTATAAATGAAATCGCCAGATTGTGTGTATGGGAAAATTGGGTCAAAACCGATGGATATTATAGATGTTTGTTATAATGTGCACGTAAATTGAGTGTTGCTTTAAATCTTGATAAAAAAAATCGCAAGAAATTGATTAATTACGGCATGAAATCTGAACATTTATTCATTTCAGTTTTCTTGTCAATTTCGATGAAAATGTATATTCAATGCTGCAGAAAATCAACCAACTTCAACTGAATCCCACGGACAAGTAAACATATTGAAGTGAGCCGAAAAAAATCATAGAGGGCAATTTGAGCGTTAAAACATACGACCACACCACCACCACCACCACCACCGACAATTGACGTTTATTCATTCTGCTGTGTGTCTGAATGAGTTTAAGTCAAATTCGTTTTCAGCCGTTTTTTCTCACTTTTTTTTTATTGGTGATTGTGTAGCGTCTAATATAACATTTTCATACACAATATCGTGAAAAAGCTGAGGCAACAGGAAAGTGGACGCGTACTCCAAATTTTCGGATTTAAAGAAAAATGAGTTTCTTCAATTCACTTCAACACTATGTTACAACCGGTGTAGCTGGTTTGGGACTGAGTCCACGACGTTTTTCGCTGTCACGTCAGGAATCAAGTGAAACACAGCAACCGCCACCACCGTTAACGCAAACGGAACGAAGAGAAAGCAACAATTCTCAACATCATGGTGAGTACAAATTAAGCTTCTTAACTTTAACACATTGCGAATTTATTTTTATTTTGTTAAATTAAAAGTACAGACGAATAAACAGCAGAATCTAATGATTTAAAGTTTTCAACTATTTTAGTTGCATAAATGCGAACATTGTTTTGTTCGGTAAAACTTTCACACAACAAATTTTTTTTTGTTCGTCCTTCGGAGCCGAGAACGATGTGAAAGGAAAGGTTTAGCCGGCGCATAATCGTATTATTTCTCAAGTTCACTTTGTATCTGAGTTAAGTCAAAACTGAATTATTAATTAAAATACAAATGGACGAGAGTACAAATAACAACAACATTATTTTGAGTGTATGAACACGCACATAGCACGCTGATGCCACTGATCATTGGGACAACCATTAGCGATTTTGTTAGCGTCATTACCGTCTTTGCCACCTCTGGTGGTGTCACCGCTTACCGTGTGTCAAGCTATTGCGCGCCGTGCAATATTCTTAAAACACTTTGTTTTAAAGACACTCATGAGATATATTCATTGCTACCGTTTATTGTCTCTTCGTACAAATTAAATATTAAACGCTGTCTACGACAAGCACAAATATGTTAATTGTTCCATTACACTTGTTAAACTGTCTGCTATAATTTCCATAATATGTTTATATTTTGCCCCAATTAGATCTGGGCGTGAGCCTCGAACTCATGTTTTTAGCGAACAAATGTATAGAAGGTTTTTTTACTGATAGAACATTCAATTGAAATAAAACAAACAACGATTTCAATTTAACCAAGCTGAATATTACAAATGGTAATGCCCTAATAATGTTTGTTATAAAAAGACATTTACTATTCACATACATTTCAAGTGTAATTTTACATTGCGGTCATTTCAACTTGATGACATTGCATAGAATGAACCATGCATTTTCGTAGAACAATAAATCAATAGTGATGATAATTTTGTTAACGTTTCATTTGTTTCATATTCCATTTGATATTTTAGGTTTTCCAAAAGTTGTACCAGCGCCAGGTACAATAACACCTCCACAGAGCCAAGGCTCAATTCGACGACAATCACGTGCACTGGAATGTTTGGCGCCACCTCGTAAAGGATCGTTTCGTACGCAGCGCGTCTCACCAGTACATCAAGCATCGACATTAGATCGACCACCTTTGGCATTTTGCAAACGACGTTTATCATGGCCGGAAGTGGAAACACAGTCAACATCTGGGTAAATCAATTTATTTTGTTTTACAAGCACATCCCTATAGGGCCATTATTCGTTGAGCTTAAATGTAAAAAAATGAAAAACGACGAATTTAAGCGCAAACGCTGTTGAATGCAAACAATTCAACAACAACAACACCAGTACATAGGTACTTTCATCATTTCTTCTTCTTGTTGTTGTTGTTGGATGGTCATTAATGTAACCACAAATTGTTACAATCGCTTGACACTTTTATGTTCTCCAATTTATGTCGAGTAAAGTCTTTATATTTCCAAAATGTGTATTTTATTCTCATTTGGTTGCCGCTTCATGGTTGCCGTCCTTTTCTCTGCCATTTCATAGGCATTGCAAAATGCACAGCAAAACTATTTTGCCCTGCGAACAAATTTTGTCGTGTGCAAAGGACGGTGTATGCGAGCTGTTACGTATTATATGTGGCAATTACGTATATGTCGCTAAGGAAGCAAATCAGTCAAAGTGTAAAGAGCATACATATATTCGTACAATTGAAAATAAAATGTTATTTCACAGAATATAAACACTGAGTATATAGTTGACTTGATCAACCTGAAATAATACGATTTTAAATAAGTGAGAGACAGAGACACAATCAAAGAGCATCATACAAGGCATTTTCAGTCGCTGTCCATGTCGAAAAACATACGGTGGTGGAAATAATGTGATAGGATGAAGAACGAATACGAGAGCTTACAATTAGCTCTGTGAATTTGTTCAGCCCAAGTCCAACTGTGAAATAAAAAACGAGAGCGAGCCTTGGTTTCATTAATAACAATGAAAATAATGAAGATAAAACAAAATAGTAGAACTGGAACTCGAATGAAGAAAATAGAAATGCCAACAATGAAACACTATAGCAACTTCCTTCTATTTGTGCTTTTGTGCTTTTTCCTCTTCTCATTTTACCATACAATCACACTATTTGCTTTAAAATTACATAAGCTCAACGGAAAGTGGCACATAACTTGCAACAAGAGTGAATTTAAAAAATAAAAAAACAACAACAACATAGTACAAAAGCCACAACAAGACATAAAGAATGCAAACACTCCAAAATACAGAGAAAAAAATGTCGAGAGAGAGAAAAAAACGGAGACAAGAGTGAGAAAGTAGGAAAAACAGAATCATGAACGGACATGTACAAAAGAAATTTTACGAATATTTAAATGCTGTCGGAGAACGACTTGCTCATCCTTGTGATTATAATAAATGAAACGAAGCAAAAGCAAAACGTGGAAAATGTTGTAGATTGTTGATAATCTCTAAGACATGACGAGGAGCACGGAATCAATAATGTGATGCCAAGCATGAAAATAAATCACAATTCACAATCAATTCGAATATTTATTTATCTCAAATCAATACATTTTTTTCGCGTGGACTCTATTTCCTGGCATTGTTATTCTTTCTGTTATTTCTCTCTGTTTTTGTACAATTTATATCATTATTTTGTTCGCCTAACAACTGCTTCTATTTGATTTGTTTCCATCTCAGATAACGTATCTAAACCATTTTTATTCCAAAAAAAAAACTATGAACGCAACACAAAAGAATGGCGATCAATATATCGTAATATTTTATAATTGGTAAATTGAGTTATCTTTTTTAACGCCAACAATGTGACAGTTATTACTTCCATTGAAGCTTCAACTGTCATTAGCCGAATGAAACAAATTAAAGTGGTAATGATTGATAAAAGCACCGAACATAAAAATATGTCGCGCTTCCCACACAAGTCATGACATTACAAAGATAATTATTATTATTTACCGTAATGAAAGAAAGAAAAATGGAATTATATCATTGCATACATGGAAATCGAAAGTGACAACATATTTACAAATGTTTTTCACTCATTCCAATTGTAACTGTCATTGGCGTAAGCCGTTGGTGGTAACAATTTACTAAGCGTGTTTTAAACAAATGAACCAAATTATTTGGCGCGTAAAAGGATGATAAATTAACAAAATGCTCATTTCTATGAGAAACGAATTTATCTTCATGAAATGCGTGCGGTAGGAACGTATGTGTGTGAAATAAACATATCGATTCATAAATCATACAAAATTGTAGGATGGGTGTGTTAAGACATTCAAATATTTATGAATAAAAATGCGTATTTCATTTTCAAAGAGGCTGAATTTGTGTCAGTTCATTTTTTTAGCTTTATTTTACCCGTTGTCATACGTGGTTGATTTTATGCTGTCTCCATTTTCAAACAACAACAAAACCACACGATAACATGCTTAGCTTGGTTGTGAAAATTTTGAACGCGTTGTGTTTGATTTCAATTTAGTTCTCCATCATTGCGTGCTCAAAATTGGTTTTCCCAATATAGTTAGAATGACTTTTTAGCCCCTAAAGTAATTGCCATGTGCAATGGAAATTAATGTTTGGTCGCACTCACTGATATTCGACTTTTTTTTCTGCCTCACACCACTTGCACACACCTTTTGGCGTTAGCTTGACACTCATGGATTGTAGAGAGAGAGAGAGAGAGAGAGAGAGAGAGAGAGAGAGAATGTGTGTGTATGAGTGTGTATATGCGCGCACCGACAGGATCCAACAACATAAATTATGACCACATGCTCAAAACACTTGGAACTTCACAAAGTTGAGTTCACTTGATGTCTCCTCTCTTTTTTCCACTGTCCCCATCACCATTATCATTCCAATTTATACACGTCCATTCGCACTTATTCTCACTTGTTCAAAACCAGATGAAATGCTCACGCTGAGCAACTTTGCAACCATATTTTCGTACATCGTATATTCGATATCAATTACAATCAACTTTTTCTATTAAAGCGGCCCAAAACAATGGACGTTCGAAAAATAAAAGTTTAAACCTTACCTTTTATCAACTTTGTTGGATGTATGTATTTTCAATTATGAAATGCGTCATTTCGATTAAAAATTATGTTGATGCTTTGTTGTATATGTTGTTGTTATTGTTTATTATTTATTATCGAAAATGTCTAGTATTCAGGAAACGGATGGTGGATACTTTGAAGCCTTTACAGCGCTAGCATGGAAACGAGACAATCGTCGTATGTCAGCAGTGCGTACAGCTGAAACTCGAGCCGAAATGATACCAGAGAAAGAGCATGATCAACAAGCCAACGAAGAAATCTCTGATACGCCAGATGAAAAAGAACAATTATATATTGAAATATTGCAAACGATTGTGCATTCTGTTGGTGCACCAGCACCAGGCAGTCAGGTGTGTATTTCAATCCCTTATTGTTGCATATAAAAAACTGGCAATCCAAGTATTGTTTTTTTTTTTTGTTGTGTATCTCATCTGCCAAGGATTAAATCGCATTTATTCCATCACATTGCAATGCAATATGATTTTTTAAGCTTTAAATGGAACAAATAAGGACATAAATATGTACAAGCACATACAGATTATGTGGCTTAAGAATGAAAGTGGGGCTTTTAAATGACAGCTCCAAAAGTGTACTGAACATACCGAACAAAATAATCAAAGTAAAAGCATTGTCTGTGTGCCAAAGTTTTTATTACAAATCTGTCAATTTCTCTTAAACTATTGTTGTACATCATCACCATAAAAACCATCATTATGTCGGGTCGTTACGGCACATTAATTACCACACACAGATATTCGATGAAAGAATGATTTCTTTTATAATTGGTTGAATTTAATGCATATTTCATTTCTTATAACAGTTTCACCACTACAAAGATGATATGTTTCTGCAAGCGCAACGTGCATTTGGTGTTTCACCTGAACGTCACTATCGATTGTTGCATACGGCCGCCGAGGAAAAACCAAGAATCGTCGTATTGAATGTGCTTGTGCAAGCAGCCGACAACCTAGAAGCGAAAGATGCAAATGGTAAGCTGTTTTAAATCAAATCGAATATAAACGTTCTCTCTTTCATTAGCTATTCAATGAATTTATGAAAATGAATGGTGTATGCCAATGAAAAAAAGGCGCATCGATACTAATAATTCCCAAAGAAAATTACTTTTGTAATCAAATTTAAATCACGCAAAGTGCAATTTTGCATACAATATTCAATCAAGTTCGGATAACATATGGCACGTATAACGTAAACGCTTCGTATCTTTGTGTGTTATTGTTGTTTATACATTTTCTACACAGAAAAGCAATCAATGTCAATGTTTCCATTACCCGATGATAGATAACAAAACGCGATAGTTCGATAAATTAATGATTTTAATGACGAGTTAATTCGGTTCGGTAATTTACCGATAACCATTTAAAATACGTCTCTCTCTTGTTTTATTTCAATGTTAATTGTATAATGTTGGCTTGCATTTTTCCTTCCTGTCGCGTTCAATCAATGGATAAAGTGTGAATGCGCGCTTCAATGCACTTAAACAAATAGTTAATATTTTTGTGTGTACGACGTATGAGTACGTGTACGTGTACGATATCTGCACGTTGTACATTTTGTATATGTGATGTAATTCATTGTGATATGCGAGTGAACGCGGGTGTATTTTTTATTCGCTTTATGTCTCGTTTCGTCCTTTTTGTATAAGTGTTTTTTTGCGGATGTTCATGTGTGTCAAAGCGTGTGCTCTACATACGAGACATATTCTTTGATCACATTGATGATGGTTCATGACCCATATTTTCCATGTCTCTTTTTGCCACATTGAAAGCACACCGAGTAAACGCGCGCGCGGTCGACAATGCACAGTTTCAGAGAATTAGTAATTTCACGTTAAATTTTAAATCTAACAAAAAGTCCCTCGCTCGTTTTTCTCTATTATTTTATTCGCGAATGAATGAATTGTCAAAAAGAAAACTTAAATTATATTCATCAAGGGCACGAATTGTTAAAAGCGAGACGAATGACTTTGAACTAACTCAATTTCAAACAGGCAAGCTTTCTCGGGTCTTTTTTATTCTTCATTTTTTTTTGTTCATCTTATCTTTTAGCGCAAAAAGAAGCGTACGAAAAACAGAACAACCGAACAAACATGACGCTGTTGTGCATGTATTAATTTTCTGATTCCTCTAGATCTTTTGCATTTTACTTAACAATTTTTATTTTGGCCACGTTTACATTAAAATTGTCTGATTCGTTCACATTGCTTCGTTTTTGGTATTTACAGGATTTAGTGATCCATATTGTATGCTTGGAATTCAGCCAGGCGGAACGCCAATTTCGCCTTTGCCACCACCAATGACACCCCGAACGTTGAGCGATGTAGGCTTCGACAATAATCTAGATTCGCCACACCAGAGCGATAAATTACGCAAACACCATAGTTTCCGGTTGAGTTTTAAGCGAAAAGATGGACGACGCGAACACCGAGATTCACTCAATGGTCCAGTACCTGCGAAATTTATTCGTGCTACATCCATTAAATCGCATACATTATCACCGAAATGGCATGAAAAATTCAAGTTGTACGTATTTCATGCACACAATTTTTTATTTTTTTTTTGTCCCTTGAAAAAGCAACAAATGTAAATCTCTGTATTAACGTACACTTTCACTTCACGCTATGCACATTGGCACAGTGTACACCAAAGTAAAATGCAACTTTTATTTTATGCACACATTCAAAAAGCGAAGAGCGTGAGAGTTGTAAAGTTTCATTCACTTCAGATGGTTGTATTTGATGTGATTGTGGATCGTTGCTTGCCATTTATTATCTTGATTTTGTATTTATTATTGCAGTGACATAGACGACATAAATACGGATATATTCCACTTGGATATTTGGGATCATGATGATGAAAGCTGTGTGTTAGATGCTGTATCGCGTTTAAACGAAGTACGAACGGTTCGTGGTTTAGGTAGGTATTTTAAGCAAGTGTGTCAGTCGGCCAGACAAGGAACGCAAGACGATTTTTTGGGTTGTGTGAACATTCCACTTTCGGTGAGTTTAATGCGATTCAGTTGAATTCTATAAAGTTTCACAAATTATAAAATTGTGTGCAATATATGTTATGCATGTAACATCATTTTAATGATGATATATCATCATTAATATGCATGGTGGGTCCAATACCGAATTTGAATCTTATTTTGGTATAATGTTTAGGAAATTCCATCAACTGGAATTGATTCGTGGTTTAAATTGGAAGCGAGAAGCCATCGAAGTATAGTGCAAGGGCGAATTAAACTAAAACTTTGGCTAACAGCACGTGAAGATCGTGGCCAATGCGAAGAGGATGAAGTTTCCACTGATCATGATATATGGAAATTGCAGCGTTTGCATAAGATTATGATGTCACATGAAATTCTAACGCACGAACCATCATGGACATGGAGTGGTGATCTATCGGGTCCATCATTAACGATTTTACATCAAATGGCCGTTCAATGTGATTTATCCGATTTACAATGTGCGATAGCTAAATTCATTGCCGTCGCTCAATTGAATCGCACAACGCCAATCGATCCCAAATTTATTCATCGTTTATTGCTCGATATAGATCATTACTGGAATCAACCGAATCAAAATAAATTGTCACGTGAGGCTGAACAATGGTTGGCAGAAGCATTTAACATTTTCATTGACAAATCGTTGTCTCAAATTCGGGCGCATCGTGATATATTTCCGGCTTTACATCCACCGTCATTGATACGTTTAGAATTTTTGCTAAAATGCTTGGGCATATTTAGCAAATTTCAGGCATACAAACAAGTGTGTCCATTTAGCAAAGGCGTTCGCGGTGAAGTTGTTGGCGCTCTTCGCAAGGGTTCCATTCAATGGGCACAATTTTTTCTACGCGAATCTCAACGGCTTTACAGCTCGTTGATTTACTTCGTAACCACAATAATCGCAAACATTCAGCTAGGCTTAATCTATTATCAATCATTATTTGAAGCGTAAGTGTTGAATACATAATATATCTTTTTTTTTTATATTTCAACATTTTTTATTCGCCTTTCTATTTCTTCCCTTGCTCTCTGGCCACAACAGAACTATTGGTGTTCAGTATTTTAGCATTGTGTATAAGCAATTCGATGTTATCATAGCCGAGGAGGTATCGTCACGTATGGAATCTGGTCAAGTGCTCGGGTCAACATTGAGTCAATGTACGGTGCTCGAAGGCGATAAAGAACCGGCCGATACACGTCCGTTTGAATTGTATTTAGTGTTACAAGAATTTGATTTGTTAAAAAATCATTTGGCGGTAATGCCCCACCCAACTGAAAAACCTTTGGCACTTCAAAACTATCATAATTGGTTTGTACCGACTGTACAACGATGGATAATGGTTGGCAAAGCAAAGGCATTGAATCGTGTTCGAGCTGCAATTTCATTAGATAAAATATCAGAAGGTGATAGAATTGTTCGTCATACCACGTCATCAGTTGATGTTGCCGACATTTTATATCAAATGCGTGAATTTTGGAAGCTCCTCAATTGGCCGGATGTTAATTCGGCACAAGCATTTGAATCACAAATAACGGACGCAGTGTGCTCGTGTGTGATTCATTATGCTGACTTGATACATCAGCAGCTCGCCGACACTGGCTACTATGAACATCAAGGACCGTTTCGTACATCGGACGATATGTGTGTTACCGTCAATAATTTGGAGCATGTACGACGTGCACTATCCGAATATCAAACGGACAAATCCGAAATGTCCGGTCAACAGCCACCCGATCAATCTGATATTTTGCTTGAGTCAACTTTGGCACAATTAGAAAATCGCGTTGAGCGTGTTCTCAGTAAATTGGCACCATCGATGCAAGTTCCCTTACAAAAAGCTGTATTCCATTTGGCATGGTCACCCGAATCGCTACCAACGAATCAGGCAATCGTACCGCTGCTTGAATATTTGGATGTACATTTATCTGCATTGAATTCGGCATTACTCATGAAAAATTTCAATCGTGCTCTCACCCTAATTTGGAATACCGTTCTAAATGAACTCTCACGACAAATGGATACGGGCGGTGAAGGTGAAAAAACAAAAAACTTTCACGATCGATTGTATGAAGCATTGCAATTGCTTGTCGACTTTTTCAATGCTGAAGGATTGGGTTTGCCGCTCGAAGCATTGCACAATGATACATACTGGAGAGTGGATCAACGTCTTCAATATCATAAAAAAGACACCGACAAATTAATCGATATATTTTATTTACAACGCTTGCAAGAGCAACTAATGGTCGCATCGCCCGGACCATATGGAGTTTTGGCTGTTCGTGCATATTTCAATCATGATTCATTGTGTGTAGAAGTGCTGAGTGCCAGAGACATCATACCATTGGATCCGAATGGTTTCAGCGATCCATTTGTGATTGTTGAATTACTTCCAAGACGAATATTCCAGTACTGTGCTGAACAACAAACAAATGTACACAAGGTAATTGCTTGATAAGTTGCTCAATTCGATTCATCATCAATTGATTTTGGTTTTTTTTACAAATAGAAAACTCTCAATCCAAACTTTGACGAATGTTTCGAGTTTTCGGTAACACTTGAACAATGTTTGGCTGAAGGTGCAATGATTGCATTTACGGTTATGGATCATGATGTATTAACCGCAAATGATTTTGCTGGCGAAGCGTTTTTGGCATTAGGTAATATTCCTGGTGTGGCTGATTACAGTACAAGCATAGACAATTTTCACGGACTAAAGCAGGTGGATTTGCCATTAATGCAACAAAACGATAAAAGTAAGATTTATTCATGTGATTGATTAAGTGCACAAAAAGAATAACTAATCGATTCAATTTCGCTTCATTTTCCGTTTATTTTTTGAATGACAGATCATCCGATTCTACAAATTTTAGAGTCACGTGCAAGCGACAAACAAGCCATGGATTTTGTGCGTAAGCAAAAAGCTCGACTCGCATCTTAATCTCATTAATCATACAAAACATTTGATAAACATTACGAATCCATATGGAAATAATGAAACAAACAGACAAAAAAATGAAAATCCCTCTCAGAAATTAAGTAAATGCACAACTTTTGTAATTCAACGATTCATTAAATGCACTCTAGTTTTATAGCCATTTTGTCGCAATATTAAATTTCGGCTTCGGCTAAAATACATACACACATCACACATATACAAATAGAAAACCACTCAATATGTCATTTGCCCAAATAAATGTATGCGCAAAAAATGATGAAATGATTGGAACGCGAAAATCATCAGAAATTAATAATGACAAAATGATTGAACACTGACTAGATAAAATTTTAATTTATTTTGACCCTTGTGCACGCGCGTTCGCATCAACTAAATAATACTTAATAGGAGAAGAAATGAAAAAAAAATAACAAACACAGAAAGAAGAGAAAACCAAAGGGGAGATGGAAAAAAGTTTGCGAGTTTGGGAGCTCAAAAAAAAATGAATAAGTGTGTATCCATAATATTTTGGAAGCGTATACATGGCCTGTCAATTGATTAAAGATGAACAGAATAATAAAACAAATGAATGGAACTCTGTTACGCAATAGCAAAGAAAAAGATTTGAAAAAAAAAAACCAGTCGATACTCAATTGGATAATATTCTATGTCAATCAGCCAAACGACATCGAACGAAAAGTGAAACGTTCAAAAATGAATTTCGATGAATAAAAACAATTGAAGCACAGTTTCTCTCGAATATTCGATTCTCGGCCGAATCAATGTTGATATGCGATCTTCTCTTTAACTAGCAACTACTTGGTTGAACAGAGTGTGCTTACGCAAGTGTACCACAGTTAGAAACAGAATAACAATCCAAAATGAAAAATAAACATACACATCACTGTGAGAGTATAAAAATAATATTACCAAAAAATATGTTGTTTGCAATGAATAGAAGTGTGTGCTATTTAACAAAACAAAAAGGGGTCATGAAAAAGAAATGGCATTACATATAACCGACGAGACATATTTTACAAGGAATTATCACACACAATCGTATTTTATATATGGTGTCGATTCAAATTCAAGCTTTGTGAGAACTTATTGACGATGAGATTGAAAAATAGGACACTATACACATAGTATATATATACAAGTTGATTTTATGTACAATCAATTTATTTTTGGAAATGTATAACACTACCAAATTCCAATATGCATACGATATAATAATAATATATGATGAAACAGATTCCTGAGAATTCTTCAAATATTGTCTGTGTGTTTGTGTAAAATCGAGGACAAAATATTTAAATCGAACAATCATACAGTCCTAAATATTCGTTCAATAGAATTATTGTGCCAACACTAACAATTATGGATGCTTATTAGTTTCGTTTTATTTCTTAATTGTTTTCGTCGCATATTTATTCATTAATCGAAATTGGAACTGAGACAAATTTAGGCTGGCATTTTTTTTGAGCCGATTGAATCTTTCTATGAAACTGAATACCGAATATCTTTTTTTTGAAAGAAATTGTTCGGAAAAAATTGATACAACTTAGAAGAGTAATCCAAATTTTTGTATTTTTTATGTGTTTGGCATTCCTTTCTTTTTAAGATAGTTTTTATTTCGTTTTGACCATTCGATTTGTCGCAAAAATTCAGCATATCCAAAAGTCTTACTTTCTTCAGAAAATTGTGCGAAAATTGAAAGCGAACTTCATTTTAATTTACATTTTCTCATTTGATTTGAATTAAACGTTCTGCATCCAAAAGCACACACACAGATACGTGAGCATGAAAGAATACATTTCAATTATTCAATTCAATTCAGGAACTTGAATCAATCTTTCCCTTCGAAATGCCCACCTCAAACGAAATAAAAAAAAGAACAACTCTCGTTTTTTTATTATTTTTAAAAAGCACGACGAGCTTAAATCTAACCGTTCCAAAACTATCTAAAGACCAACAAGTTAAACCAATCAAAGATCTTGATCCAATCAAAATATCTACCGTTTTTTTTTCACTCAATGTTTTCAGAAATCAAACCAAATAAAGAGTATTTTTCGAAATATTATTTGAACACAGCAATGACTGATTCACATTTAAATTCACCGATAATTTTTCCAACGACTAATTTTATCCTATAAATAGCAGAATAGATATAGAATGAAATAAAGAATATATTATGCATATGAGCGTCAAAAGATTAAAATGATTACGTGTCAAAACATATTTACCATTTAAAGTAACAAACTACAAACAATTATAGTGTATAGTGTATAGTGACATACGGCTTTCGGTGTTGAAATTGAAGCTCCCTCAGCTTATAGATATTATATAACATAATCTCCCATCAAAAGCCTTGTCCATTCTCTATCAATCAACGCCCACTATATTTTAACAATTTCATTCTTCGAATATTTTTTCTTCCTATATACAAATTTTACGTACAACACACATACACATAAATATTTTTATACAAAACAAAGAAGACACACAATACAAATCGAAATCAATGAAATATGGAACACACTCTATAACTTGATCTAAATGAAACAAAAACAACAACAAAAATGGAACACTTACCAAAGACATAATTTTGGACATATTTTTTTGCAAAATAAAAAAAAAAACTTATAAAAACAACAAGTGACAATTTAAATATTTATACTAAATTTTATACGTTTTAAAGCGCAATACATTTTTTCACTTCTTTTTACAAGCTATCAAGCTAAAGTAACACCATCAATGTAACACAAAACAAAAGTTCTACATACATATATTCGATTCAAATCAAAATTAGACAAAGAAAAGTGAATTATTTTGATTCCGATGTTTACCTATCCACATCTCTATTATTTTTTCACTCTTTTATGGCCTAATATAAACGAGTGCAATGTATTAGATGGAGAAGATTATGCATCTTCCTTTTTTTAATTTTTAGCCAATCAATCGCACACATTCCATCAAAATACACAGTAAGTATACTATTAGATATATTGCAAATATTCTCGCAGATGCCTTCGAATCTATTTCCAATAATTTTCTACGCCCCTGGAGCACTCTAAGAAGTGCACGATACCCTAATTTCTATTCCATTTCCAAAAAAAAAATCATTCAAATAATTTTTTGTCTAAAATACCTAATTTAAAAAAAAAAGATATATTTACGGAACATTCATTCTTTGACGAATCAAAATTTGAAAAGTCCGAAAAGAAAAATCATATAAAATATATGAATCAATTTGATTATAAAAAAATAAATAAATAAATTAAGTCCCATGAAGCACTTATTATTAGTAAAACTAAACGTTGGTTGTAATGAAAATATCTCAGTCACATATAACATTCTATTATGGCATTTACAAGTGTGACGTCCAAAGAAATTAAAAAAAATCATATTGAGTATATATCTAGCTGTGAATATTTAAACCATAATTTATTTTGAGAAAACAAAAGAAAATCAGAATTTACAGCAAAAACCGCAAACACATATGACTTTGAAATAATAAGAAATTTAAGACAGCCTCTCCTCCTAGAAGCAAGAACACACACAAAAAATCATTGTTCAAAGCCAACAAATGAACAAACAAAAAAAAAATGAATCAAGATTTAATGTGAATTGATACACTAAACCAGACAATATATTTAGCTGCCGTCATCTGGATATTTCAGCTCATCTGGATGCCGTCAGCAGATGATGCGAAGTGAAAACAATAGAAGTGATTGTTATAGTAATACCAGTATATAACAAGCTTATATACCTATAACAATCACTTCTATTGTTTTCACTTCATATCATCTGCTGACGATATCCAGATGAGCTGTAATATCCAGCTGATGACGACAGCTAAATATATTGTCTGCACTAAACCATCCATAATCCATAATATATGTGTATATGTACATTCTTAAACTGCTTATTGCTTGTATGATGTGTTTTTTTTTTGTTTTTTTTTTGTTTTTTTTAAGCATCAACTCTTAAAAATTAAGAACTGTTTACACATTTAGAACAAGAGAGAAAACGAAAGAGGTAAATTCAAAACTATTACAAATGGATAAACAGATGATAAGGAAATGATGTTCAAATCATATGAGTGCGCAAGAAAGAAAAAAAAAAAAACATTTCCATTTCAAAGTACAAACAGTGAATTATTTGTAAATAAAAACTAAAAACAAAGAGAATTTATTTGTTGGAAGACGCAAAATCGTGTTAACCATAGTAAAACAATATACATTTAATTTAATGAAGAAGTTGAAATTTTATTGAAATAAATATTATATATACACACACATACCCAAACCTAAATGAACATGAAATGGATAATATTACTCTTATACATACATCTATCATTTCTCACAATATGTGTCCTAAATTGCCGAAAAAAAAACAACAACTTATCAATTTGATTAAAGAAAAAGTAAAAATCATACATTATTCACGATCAAAACAGACGCAATGGCAGAAAAAAACCTCTTCAAAAAATAATTTTTGTTTGATGCTATTGCTTTATTGCCATTGCCATTCTGTTCATTTGAAACTCATGAATTTATTTCATTTATTTGATATACATACACTTTTAATAAATGAACGCGATACAGTTTATTAACAAAGATAATCTATATATTGTTTTATATATGCCATGTTCATTTTGAACACAAACGTCTTCAAAACCCAATACGTAATAATTTAATTTGATTCATATTGCGAAACAAATTTAAAATGATTCTATTCAATATGCATTTGCTGCTGATAATGTTTATAATCAGCTAGTGTTTTTTTGTCGATGAATGGAACAAAGAATATATTGAAATTATTTGCACAAAGAGGAATTATTGATTCTCAAACAATAACCAATTTTTGTTTCATTTTTTTCCCTTCAATTCATTGCGAAATTGTATTTGATTTTAACTGAAATATGATTTTGGCTCTATTTAAAAAGTCTTTGAAAATGATGATGATAATCTAGATAAATCGATGCAAAACTAATTAAAATTCTATCAAGAAAAGACATCCTGTAATTTGCGTGCTTATTTTAAGAAATCTAAAATGTAATGAATATTGAACACACACCCACACCCGAAATAAATACGATTATAAAATAATACTGATAATTGACTTCATTTTATTTCGAATTATTTAATTCATTGTATACAACATTGGAAAAATCGTTCAAATGGCTTTTATTTGTTTCTGTTTAGGTTTGAATCGTTGTTTCATCCATCATTTAATTATCCTTTAATGTTTAAACTGAGTGGAGATGGGCCCTTGCTTTGTTGCTGTTGAGCTTGAGCTGCTTGTAATTGTTGCATGTACATTTGAGTGTAATAGCAATCGTTCGGGCATTGACCTGGGGCACCTGGTGAGCCGGGCGTTCCATTTCTACCGTCTTGACCGCGGTCGCCTATTTAATTTTATCAATTCAAAAGTATATGATCCGTAAAAAAATGGAAATTTACAAATTTGGTCAATGTCTACTTGCCTGGTCGTCCGGGCGGTCCTGAAAATTCCGAATAAAAATGGTTATTTTCAATTTCTTGTATGAAAAAGCGTTTTTTTTTTTAATTACCTGCTATACCTTCTATTCCAGGTAGACCCTAAAATGTAATAAAATACGGTTCGAATAATAAAATTCAAATGATTCTTCTCATAAATATTGTCAAGTGCCAAAAGTAAATATTAATAAAGAATGAACTTACTTGAATTCCAGGTGAACCATGTCTACCATCTTGACCTCTGGCACCTCTATCGCCTATTGTACATTAGAATGTTTTTATGTCGTACATCTCAATATTCTGAGCCATTTACGCATAGAATAACAAACCTTTTTCACCCTGTAAAAATATTAATTTGAATATATTAACGTTCAAAGCAAAATCGAGTTTTTTTTGTTATTTTCTTGTTTGAACATTGACTTCTTACCTGCAAACCAGGATAACCGTCGTCTCCACGATCGCCTACACAACAACAAAAACAAAATGTTCAAAAGTTGAATACTTCAATTGAAAGTAATTTATACGGATTCTCTTTCATATGTTAATGTGAATTTTATCGGTTAGCACAATTTAAATTTAAACATTTATTCACCTTTTGGCCCTGGTCGTGCTCTACCATTGCCTGGTCGTCCTGGCGGTCCTGAATTGTACATTTTCAAATTGAAATTTCTTTGTCAATTTATTCATATATATATTTTTAAATTAATTTAAACTAACCTGGTGGTCCAATTGGTCCAATTAATTGCGGTTTCAATGCATCAAGTTGTTCTATATGAAAGAAAACAAAAGCAATTTGCGTTGAAAATGAAATTCAGTGAAAATATGATAATTCATTGTTGCCCCGTCACCTTTTAACACATTTCCACAGATTTCTCGAATTTGAAGTTCACCGAACTGATGCTCTCCACCCTCTGTACGAGTTACTATTAAACCAGGTGATCCGGGTTCACCCTTTTGACCGATAATCGACTCTCCCTACATTCAATATAATTATATAATGGTGTACAATCATTGGTTTTTATCGGTATAGGAAATTTTAATCCGATTGACAATAGATTTTAACACAAGTGCTAGAAAATATGATTGATTTACCGGAAATCCTCTTTCACCACGTTCACCTTTTTCACCGACAATGCTACGGCCATCAAATCCCTTAAATGGAATGAATAAAAAATGAATAAATCGATTTTTTTTTGTTTGGCATAATAATGCATTTAAATAAAATTACATCGCGTCCTGGTGGTCCGGCTGGACATTGAATCGGACACTCTTGCTGAATAATTGGCGCAATCGTTGGTTGTGGATAATTTGGCAATACAAGCGGTGAATCTGGTTTTATTGACTCTTGATATTGCTGATGTGAATAAATTATTTATTTGAACATTTGTACAAACATACACGATTTACATTTCAACTATACTCACTGGCAATTCCTCACAGCTTGGTACAACTGGACGTGTTGATTCGCAGCCGAGCACCATCCATTGCAAATCAATCTGTGCTGTATTCTAAACATTTGTTTAAAAAGAATCAGTTTGAAATAGAAGTAAAAAATCAGAGAAGAAAAAAAATATGCGTACCACATATTGATTTGTTTCGTCGACATAGCGTGCAATGTGAGAATAACCATTGGTAACATCAAATTTTGGACGTGGCAACAATGGCTCTTCGTATGCACCACGAACTCCAAATACTTCTTGACAATCAATCCACAGTCTAACTTTGTCCTTTAAAACGCTTACCAACAACTTATGCCAATTTGTATCGAACAAATTTGAATGCTGGAAAAATACACGCTGTACATTACCGCCAACAGCTGGTAAACCAATTCCGATTGAATGCTGAACCGTGTCTAATGTAATGCTAATTTGTGTAACGCCTTGTGAATCGGTCACATGAAACAGATAGAAAGGTTGCAGCGGTTGTACAAGTGCACGGAATGTCGATTCAAACCAAAAATGATATGGAATTCCAATTGGAAATGCTTGAAATGCGTTAACGGTTAAATTTGATTCTTCGTGCAATCGATATGCTTGTTGTGACGAAATTGAACCAACCGTCGTCTCATACTTTTCCACCGATTCACTCAAATGAAATTCACGAATCAAATCAATCGTTGGTAAAACACCATTGTCACGATTGAATGCACATTTCGGGCACTGGGAATTGACTATGCTCGCCAAACACAAAAAACTCACTGTCAGCAATCTATATATCCAATCAATGTGATAATTTTAAAACAAAAATGTGAAATTATTCGCAATTTTACGAAGAAAAAAATTTGTGAAATAAACTAAGTATTAAATTCACCTAAGTATCATATTTTTCAGTGGTATGTCTTTGGAATAAAATGAAACAATGAAACTTCTCTTCCGATCACAGCAATGAATCTATCGAAACTGTAAGCAGAAACTGAATATTCCTTTGGTTTTAACATGTTTTCAAAGGCATTCCAATTTTGAATTATTTCAATTGAACCAACAGACGCATAAAACATTTTAATTAATCAATGTGTTGACATTAATAAGCCAAAAATTCAAACCATACTCTACACATCAATGCGATCAATTGAGCATTCAATTCGATTTATTGTGTTTGTGTCTCACACTTAATGTGAGTTTTTCATTCAATTTGACAATAAAAAAAATCTGCTCATTTGAACAATAATTTTTGTGTGCGGCGACATAATAAGAATAATATCGAAAGAAGACCTAAATGCATTGTCATATATTTCTTCACTTTTTAATTTAAGCATATGGATCGATTTCTTCTAATTTACTCCTTGTGATAATTGAGCGAAATTAACTGGACCACTTGGCATTCTTCGAGTATTGCTTTTGGGATAGTGATAGAAAAAATTAAATAGATCATTTTACTACCAACGAATTATTTCTTGTGCAATCATTAGATAAAAAAATATTACTGACGAATACTACACTTTGATCAATGATTTATTTTAGAATTTTTCGAATCGTCGCAGTAAAAAGAATTCTGCTACTTTAATGGTCCAAAGTTTGATTCAATATTGATTTTGTCAACGGAATGAATATGAATTTTTTTGTTCACTGTAATCAATTGAAGTGCCAAAAACATTAATTATCAGCGTCACATCCAAGCTGAATAATATTATTATATAATAACGTGCAAAATTTCGCATTTGAAGAAAAAATGTGGAAAAAAAAAATCATCTTCGTATCGTAATGGCAATA